GTTCGAAACTAGCAGCGGTTCCACGGGAGACAGATGAGCGTTCTGTTCCTGTAAAGATTTAACAGCCTTGGAAACCCTGTGCAGGGTCACTATGAGTTGAAACTGACTCCACAGTACTTAACAAGTTCTTTTTGTGGAGTCATGGTGTGGCACTGTGGGTTAATGCACCAGACTACAAAGCCATTTGAACTGCAAGGTTGGCAGTTCAAGCTCACCAGCTGCTCCTCGAAACCCTATGCAGGGTCGCTATGGGTCGGAACTGACTCGACAGCACTTAACAACAACAAGTTCTTTTGTGTTCTTTTAGCTGCTTCTTCCTGATGAGCCCTGTAGTCACCCCGTTCACCCCCATACGCAGATCTTGACTAATAATAATATAACTTCCATCTCAATAGCTTTGCCTGTTCTGGACATTTCATGTGAGTAGAATCATGCAGTACTTGTCCTTCTGTGTCTCGTTTCTTTCAATCAATATAACGTTGTTAAGATTCATTATCTATGTTCCATTTCTCTTTATTACCACTGTATTGGTCCCTTCACAGTGTGTCTATCCATTCACCAGCTGACAGTCATTTGGTTGGTTTCCATTTTTTGACTATTAGGAATCATGCTGACATGTGCCTTTTGGGTGGGTACGTGTCTTCAGTTCTCTTAGCTATATCCCTGGGAATACAATTGCTGAGTGGTACAGTTAAGTCCTGGTGTGGTGCTGTAGGAGAAGCACTCGACTGCAAGGTCAGTTTGAACCTCAAGGTCAGCGGTTCAAACTCACCAGCCACTCCTAAGAAATCCTATACAGGGTCGCTATACAGAAGTGACTTGATAGCACTTACCAAAAACAACAGCAAGGTAAGTGTTAGTGTGGCATTGTAGGATACGCACTGGACTGCCAACCACAAGGTCGGCAGTTCAGATCCACCAACTGCTCTCAGCAATCATATACAGTGTCACGTGGCACTGTAGGATAAGCACTGGACTGTCAGCCACAAGGGCGGCAGTTCAGATCCACCAACTGCTCTCAGCAATCATATCCAGGGTCAGTATGAGTTGGAACCAACTCGACAGCACACAATAACAACAAGGGTAACTCAGCGGATCCCTGGGCACGAAGGTTCATTGCTTAGCTGGTCCTCTAAAGGTTGGGGGTTAAGAACCCATCGGTGGCTCCACAGAAGAAAAACCTGGCAATCTGATTCAAGAAAAATTATAGCCAAGAAATTCCTGTGGAACAGGTCTTCTCTGTCTCATGCAGTCGCTGTGGGTTGAACTCAGCTCTGTAGCCCCAACAACAACAAAGTCCACAGTTAACTCTATAAAAGATAAATAATGGTTTAATGTAGTATTCAGAAAAATAAAATATGAATGAAAAATAGCAATGTTTACAGTAAAGATAGGGTGCTGGCTGTTTTATGACCCTGTTAGTCTGCAGTTGTAGTTGTTGTTGCTAAGTACCGTCGAGTCGGTTCCGACTCATAGCGACCCTGTACAGGGTTTCCAAGGAGTGGCTAGTGGTCTTGAACCACCGACCTTACGATTCAAACCGACTTTTCAGTCCAGCGCATTACCCTGCAGTGCCACACCAGGACTCCGTTAGTCCTCAGTAGGAACTGTCATTTCCCATCAGCCTGTGGTTCCGGGACTCATGTTCGTTTAGGAGGGATAGCAATGGTGTGCAAACAGATTGGGCAACTTGGGGTTTTGCTATCATCACCTTTTTTTTTTTTTTTTTTTTAACTGTAGAGCATTTATTAGCTTTTATCCCCTTGGTTCAAAGTATGGGAGGATTTTAGCCAAGTGTATATCATTGTTAGCGGGAGAAAGATGAGGCTTTCTACTCCCGTAAAGATTTACACCCTCGGAAACCCTGTACAGGGTCGCTATGGGTCGGACCCGACTCAACGGCACTTAACAACAACAACAACAACAACAATATCATTGTTAAGTGTTCTTGAGTCAGTTCCGACCCATAGCAACCTTGTATAGGGTTTCCGAGGAACGGCTGATAGGTTTGAACCGCTGACCTTGTCATTCAAACTGACCTTGCAGTCCAGTACATTATCCTGCAGTGCCACACCAGGACTCCCTTTGCTTCAGACCCTATTATGACTCAGCACAGCGCTGATGATCTGCTTCATGTCATCTCAACATCCCTGGGCACCTCAATCTCCAATTCGTTGTGGCAGAGCCAAGATTTGAACTCAGAATTGAGGCAAAGACCTAACTCTTCCATACTATGCCTCTCAGGAGTTCAGAATTTGTATGGTCAAAAGAAAGTCACTAATCACTCCGAATCACAGTCATAACAATCCTGATCCATATACTTGCTTAAAGGATCAATGTGAACATCCATAATAAACTGTGAAATTGGCCTCTCTTCCCTGGAAGTGCTTGTCTGAGCTCTTGAAGCAATACAAAGAAAATCACTGAGTGAAACTTATTTCCTGTATGTGCTATAGGAATTTACATGTCTGTTCATATCCTCCAAATGAAGCCACATATGAAAACATATTTTTGAATAAAGACAGAGAAAAGTTATTTGTTTTCCCAGGAAACAGGTATTTTTCCTGCTCATAGACAATGAGAAAAATGTGACAGATCATGGTTCCCTTTTCACACTGACCACCAGGAAACTCAACATTAAGTTTTTGGCTATAAAAGAACAGGTCTTTGCTTATTTGCATTTTTATTTCCTCTGTAGTATACAATTCCTTTTGAAATTTATCTTTGTTATCCTAGTGTTTATTTTTTTTTGTTTAGATTTTACTGTTTTTTTGGACTCCTGATGTAACACTATAGGATCAGCACTGGACTGCAAACCACAAAGTTGGCAGTTCAAACCCACCAGCTGCTCCTGCTACTTTCTTGGAGTTGAGCAACCATTGTCATCCTCTTTTTCTTCCCCCATAACAGGTTTTCTGCCCCCTAGGGTTCCTATGGAATCTTTTGAGTTACTATTGTCAACTGATCACATAGAGATAAATGTCAAGGCAGACTTTCTTTATAAGTTAAATTAAGCTATGCTTTCGTTTGAAGAAGACTTTGGGAGATATTTTTGGTGTGAGGTTTAAAGATTATCACAGGGAAATCATTTCAGAGGTTCATCCAGCCTCTATGGCTCTGTTGTTGAGAAGTGCCGGCGAGTCGATTCCAACCCATAGCGACCCTGTTGTATAAGGTTTCCAAGGAGCAGCCGGTGAGCTTGAACCACCGACCTTGCAGTTAAAACAACTTTGCAGTCTGATGCATTAGCCCACAGTGCCACACCAGGGCTCCAAAAGGGTGCATATTTCAGGGAACACAATTCACTCCATAACACCTACAGAACTCAGTGTAGAGAATGCTAAAGAATCTCAAACCAAAGAGAGCAGAGGATTATGGTATCTCCAGACCATATTGCTAATGCTCTAGAAACTCTCAAATGAGAATTTGAAAATCTGTTCTGCATTTTCTCCCTTTTGATCAGGATTCTTCTATAGAATCTTGGATTAACACATTCAGTCATGGTAGCCGGGCACCATCCAGTTCTTCTGGTCTCATGACAAGGAAGTATTTGTTCTTGGTGGCAGTTAGCCATACGTTCCATATCCTCCTCTTATTCCTGACTTCCCTTCTTCCTGTGATGCTCCAGGTAAATAATGACCAGTTGTTAGGACGTGGATGGATACTTACCAGCTTTTAAGACCCCAATCACTATGCAGTGATGTAGGAGGTACAGCAGAAGCATTCAACACCTTATTAGACCAATTAATTGGGATATCTCATGATATCATGACCCTAAACCTCCAAACCAAGGAACCAAATCCTCAGCAGTTATTTCTCCTCCTCCTCTTCTTCCTCCTCTTTTTCTTCTTCAATTTGAAGAGATTTCAAAAAGTTCAAGGAAAAATTCTGTTCTTTTCATTCTATTTTTCTGTGACGTTTTGGAAACCCCCTTGAACATATTTAAAAGAACTGTAAATTGCTTGGCATGAATTTGGTCTGATAAATATTTTCCCCAAGACCAGAGGGCAGGAGAATTGGGTTGAACCTTTCTCAGCATTTCCCAGGCATGGTGACCTCCAACTGAGCCTGGGCTGACCAGGGGAGATAAGAGTTGGGTTAGGGACCCAGCGTGGCTGTTCCTCACTATTGCAGGCTGCACTGCCCTCCTTCCCAGCCCACTCACAGGGTGCGGGGACACCATGGAGAACCTTCAAGTAGAGCCATCCCTGTCAGTAAGCATGCCCAACTATCCCTGTTAGAATTCATGCCCAACAGAACCAGCCCAGCACCAAACTAGAAAGGCATCTTCTAGGCCTACCTCCCGCTTTTGGTTAACAGCCAGTGCTTAACCATTGCAACACCAGGGTGCCTTTTTACAGAGGTTGTTGTCATTGTTGTTGTTGTTTGCCATCAAGTTAATTCAGACTCATAAGTGACCTCACTGGAGAGTAGAACCTCCACATTGGGTTTCCAAGGCTACAAATCTCTACAGAACTCCATCCCCAGGTCTTTTCTCCCACAGAGCCAGTAGGTGGGTTCAAACTGCCAAACTTGGTTGGCATCAGAACGGTTAACCATTGTGCCACTAGATGATGTATTCCTTTCGGATGTGTTTACAGTTTAAATTAAACCCTCTGGAAGAGGCAATGCTTAATCCAAGAAAATGAAGGCCGGATGGTAGAATTTCAGAGCGTGTTGTTTTGTTTGGCAGCTGGGGAGGGAGGTGGGTGTTACAGGGAACAGGGAATCACCCCAGGGGACATCAGTGCCTTCTGGGTGGGTCCATGACTCAAGTGCCACAAACTTCACTGTCAAGAAAGCTTTCACAGGCAGGAGCTGGGGAAGGAGTGGGGGGATGTGCACCTTTCTCAGTTCCCTCTTCCAAAGCCTGAACCTTCTCCAAGGAACTAGTCCCAGTATCACTAATTTCCTGAGAAGCTTCCTCTTTCAGGGAGAGACCCCACCAGCAAACTGGGACTAGGGAAAGACTCACGCCTCCGCCTCCTTCTCCCTACCAGGCAAGCCCTATGGGGCGGACGACTTCCTCCCTGTGCTCATGTATGTACTAGCCAGATGCAACCTCACAGAGATGCTGCTCAATGTGGAATACATGATGGAGCTCATGGACCCTGCCCTGCAGCTTGGAGAGGGTGAGTCTCCACCGGATCCTCCACCCCGCCTCAGGGAATGCCAGGCAGTCTAACAGCGCCTCCTGGTGGCCAGGTCCCTGCTGAGGGACACAGAGATAGACTGGGAAGGGAGAGGAGGATGTCTCTGCTCTGGAAGTTGGGGAATGGTGGGATGCTCAGAGGGTAGGCGTCCCTTACTCAGGCTGTGCAGCCAGGGAAGGCTTCCTAGAGGAGGTGACATCTGAGTGGAGTGTTGAAGGATGAATAGAAGCCAGCCAGACGAAGAAGGGAATACAGCAGGAGCTGGGAGTGTGGAGACTGAGGCTGAAGCAGTGGGGAGTGGCCCTGGCCAGGCGTAGGAGCAGGGAGGTCCCCAGGGACTCTCAGCCCCTGTTCCTCCAGCTCTGGACCAGACCCTCTGTCCGTGGGGGATGGTTAATGGTGCCGGCAAAGGGATAAAGGCGGAGGTGTGGATTGTTTCACCCCACCCTCAGTTTCCCTTCCCCTTTCCCTTTCCTCCTTCACACCACTTCCCCTGCTCACGCAACCCCAGCCACCCTCTACCACCAGTCCCCTGGGCCTTGTCATCTGGGTGCAGCCAGCCTAGGTACCTGCTCTGAGGGAGCCTCCCCTCCCCGCTGTCCTTTGAGGTGTCAACCGTGAAGGATGGAGCGAGAATCCCCCGCATGAGCGTGTCTCCCCAGTGGACTTTGTGGTTCTGGAGATCCGCAGTCCTCTTTGCATCTGTTTGCATTTTCATCCTGTTCCTGGCCCTGATGTGAACAGCCCTGTAGGTTCTTGGCAGCTCAGAGGAGCGTGTTAAGGCCATGACGTAAATGACACACATAGCTTTGGTTTGTGGCTCTGGGGCCTCCAGGAACTACGTTCTCTGATCTTTGGTGAAAATTATTTTTTCTGCCTTTGAAACAGCCTGTCTTACAAGAAAGCTAGGAATTCCCGGAAAGGTGGACTTTCTTCAGCAGTTATCATCTGTTTCCCAGTGCGTGTGTGCATCCTGCTCACCTATCAGTCTATTTACCTGTGTGTCTGTCCCTCTGTCTCTTCAGCTACTCACACATCTGCTTATCCACCCACCTACCCACCCATCCACTCACCTACTAACACATCCACTCATCAACCTATCTACCTGTCTGTCTGTGCATCTGTCCATTCAACTACACAGACATCCACCTAGCCATTCACCAACCCATCCACCCATCCACCTACACATCCACCCATCCTTCCATCCATCCCTCCATCCACCCATCTAACTACTAACACTTCTACCCATCCATATATCCTCCTATCTGTTCATCTGACCACACATTCATCATTCATCTACCCATCCACTCATCCATCCTCCCACCCACTTATTTACCCACCCATACATACACACATCCACTAGTCCACCCACCCATCATACACATATCCACCAATCTACTCAGGCATCATACACACATCAGTCCACTCACCCATCATACACACATCAGTCCACTCACCCATCATACATACATCGTCCACTCACCCGTCATACATCCATCAGTCCACTCACCCATCATACATACATCAATCCACTCACCCATCATACATACATCAATCCACTCACCCATCATACACACATCAGTCCACTCACCCATCATATACACATCGTCCACTCACCCATCATACATACATCAGTCCACTCACCCATCA